CCACCACGGCCCCATCTCCCCAGGAAACTGATGCTGACAGCCCGCGGTTCTGTCACATACAGGTTTGGGGCAGCATTAACAAACAATCAGATCATAGGAGGAAAGGATCCGAGGGTTTTGTATACAGTACCTGTGTTCCAATACTCCAGTAAAACCATCCCACGTAAGACGGGTGCCGGAACCACCCATACACCCCACTTGTCACCAAAGTATGAGTGTCCGATTTCTCATTCTGAACAATATGGTTGAAGTTGGAGCCAGCTGTGAGCATGGCAGCTTTCCTCAGACAATCCCCAAAGATCACCATCAATAACCCTACAGTACTCAGCCAGGTGATCTGCTTCATCTCTGCAAGTGAAGAAGCACGGGTCACTACAGGTTCGAGCAGGGGACTCCGCGCTGAGGGCAGGGGGTGTGGGTGGGACCCCAGGGAGGTCAGGCAGGGACACAAAGGTGGCTGGGCTTCTGCCCCACCTCAGAGCAAAGCAATGAACATCGCACAGGCTGTGCTCAACACGCTGCAGCTCTGCAACAAGAAAAGCATCAGCTGCTGCACACCTGCCCATTAAATGAGTGAACTGCACCATCTGCAGCATGCAGTGCTGCCACTCTGAGAGAGACAGCATGAAGCAGGGCCTGGCTTTGTATCGTGAAGCAAAGCTCAGGCAGAGCAGAGCTCACCCAGCAAGCTTGGGGCTTGGTAGCCAGGCCTTCCAGCCATCCCCACTGCGGGGAAGGACAGCACCGCCCTCTACCAAAAAGCAAACAGATTTGATTTGCAGGCACATGAATTCAAGCAAGGCTATTTCTATTGGCAGTACAGCTTTTCAAGTGTGGCCAGAAGCACCGTCCAAGCACGTGAGCGGGTGCGTTGGGAACCACAGCACGGGGCTGGGGCTGACCTGGCAGCAGGAGCTTCTCCAGCGTGAACTCCACCCAGGAGGAGAGCGCGGCCAGGTTGTACTCAAAGCTGTGGTTGAGCAGGAAGGAATCCAGCGAGAGGCTGCGTGGGTTGTTGATGGCCGTCACCAGGTACTCGGAGTAGTGGAACAGCGACAGCGAGCACATGTACCTGCAGGGAGGGGGCACCGCAGGGCCCGGGGGTCGCTCGCATCTCGGTCCCAGGGCCCGGCGACCCCTCCTCTCCCGGTGCCGCCCTCCCGGCTCCGTGACAGCCCTCCTCCGCTCCCGGTGCCCCCCCTCGGAGCACCGCCCAACCCCCCCAAGCCTCCCCCGGCCCTCACCAGCCGAAGTGCCGCCACGCGGAGCGGCCGGCGCTCAACAGCAGCCCGCAGCCGAAGGCGAAGCCCAGGAAGCCGGCCCGGATGGCGATCTGCAAGCAGAGAGCAGGCAGCGCGCTGCCGTCGGCGCCGCGGCCCAACCCGGCGCCCCCCGCACCGCCCCGCCCCGCACCTTGTACAGCGGCCGCGGGTAGAGCAGCAGCAGCGCCGCGTTCACGACGGCCACGTGCAGGGCGAGCGCCAGGCGGCCCCGCAGGCCCGGTGCGGCGAGCAGGGCGGGGGGGGAGCCCAGCGCCAGCGGCAGCGCGGCCACCGAGGCGCCCAGCAGGAAGGCGGCCAGACTGGCCCGGGCCTCCCGGCCCAGCCGCCCGCGCCGCCACCGCCCCGCCGCCTCCGTCGCCGCCATCTTGGCGGCACGCCCCGCCCCGCCCCGCGTCGCCCTGGAAACGGCTGCGCGCGCAGCTCGACGCCCTCGCTGAAGTTCTCGCGAGATGACCCGCCCCGCGGCGGCGCTCTCGCGGGAGGGCGAAAACCCGCGCCTGCGCGGTCGCCGGGGGACGCCGCTCGGGGCGCCCTGTGCACGGAGCCGCCCCGCCCGCAGCGCGCAGCTCTGAGCAGCGTTTTTTTATTGAAAATTGAAAAACGCGAACGGCAGAACGGGGGCGCGTCCCCGCAGTCCTTAGCGCGGAAAACGGCGCGCTCCCTCGGGCCCGTGCCCCCGCGCCGCCCTACGAGGCCGAGCCGATGGAGTCCGACAGGAAGGTGATGTACCCCGAGGAGGCGGACGGCGAGCTGAAGAAGCTGCTGGTGCTGCCCCGCCCGCCGTCCCCCGGGCCCGGCCGTTGCGCCCACGGCTCCGCGCCCGGCCCCGCTCGCTGCGCCCGCCCCGCGCAGCCCCCGGCCGGCGTCGGGACGGGGAGCCGCGCCGGGTCCTCGGGGGCCGACGGCCTCCCCGGTACCGCGAGGCCGGGCTGCCGCCGGGGCTCCCGCTGGAAAGCGGCCAGGGGGAAGGCGGAGAGCAGCGCCTGGTGCTGCGCCGCCGCGGGCAGCAGCGCCACCGAGGCCGAGCGCCCCGTGCCGCCCGCCGCCCCCCGCTCGCCGCCGAACGCGTGCAGCTCGGCCAGGCGAAGGTCCTCGCGGGAGAGGCGCAGCGGGACGGCCAGGCTGTCGGCGGAGCGGCGGCGGAAGGCGAGCCGCTCGTCGGGGTGGGGGCTGAGGCCGTGGCGGGGCCGGTCGCGATGGGGGGCCAGGAGCCGGGCCAGCCCCGCCGCCTCTCCGCCCGGCCCCCAGCGCTGCAGGTACGCCGCAATCTGGCCGCCGGTCCACAGGTCTGTCTCGTCGTGAGAGAAGCGACGCGGTGGGGGCACCTGTGGGAAAGCATTGTTAGCACTGGGGGCTGCGGCGCCGCTGCCCCGGCACCCACCGCCCACCCTCACCTGCAGGTACTGCATGCGGTCCCCCGGCTCCGTCCTGGCAGGGCTCACTGGGGGCAGGCCCTGCTCCAGCACTGAGAAGTCACGCGTGGCGATGGGGTCCAGCACCAGGACCTCGGCCGCGCAGCCGTACTCGTAGGGGCGGTCGTACACCAGCTCTCCTGCCACGGCCACCGCGCCCTCCAGGCTGCTCTCTGACAGGAATGGGTGCGCTGTCATTTTGGGCACACCCTGCCCTCAGCGCATCCCCCCCTGCCACGCACCCCACCTTCGTCCTCGTCATCGTTGGCCAGCACAGTGCGGCACTTCTCGCAGACAGCACGGGGGTTGGCACGGTAGCGGTCGCAGGCCCAAAGGAAGAGGGGCAGGAGCAGGGACTGTGCCAGCGAGCACCAGAGGAGACACAGCACCATCCACTCGGAAGAGGTGTCCGAGCGCAGGCTGGCAGCGCTCACCACCTGTAGCACCAGCCCATCACCAGCAGCCCCACACACCCGCACCCCTTCCCAGTAGCACTCACCAGTACTGGGAAGCCCATCAGGATGTCATAGATGAGGACAATGACAGTGATCAGGTAGGTGATCTGCAGGGAGGTCTTGACAGACTCGGATCCGTCAATGGAAGAGCGCCGCTTGCCCTGGGCATCCTCCACCACGATGGTGGGCACATGAAAGCGGCTGTTGCTGGCACTGGGGCCGCGTCGACCCAAGACAGTGTGGAAGAGAGCAATGCCAATGCAAACAGCACCAACAGCCATACTGCCCCCAATGAGGAGCAGGAAGCAGACACCAAAGCCCAGGCCAATCTCTGTCACAACAAAGCGGCAGTCCCTGGCGTAGAAGCGCTCGGTGGTGTCGTGCCACCCCACTGCCGGCAGAGTGGAGAGGATGAAGGAGACCATCCAGATGCCCATCACAGTGTGAACGGCTTGCTTCCTTGTGTTGCTCAGCCTGGGGAGAGGGGCAGAATCCACAGAGTGCTAAGCACAGTGGGGTCTGCATGCCAGTGCTTGCTGCCCTCTCCCTGAGCTCCAGCACAAGCACTGAATCACGCCCGGGGATGTGATATGGGGCAGACTGGGCCCCATATCACATGGGGTGGTACCTGTAGTTGACGGGCCAGCGGACCATCCACATGCGGTGGTAGGAAAGGGAGGTGACAGAGAAGCAGGTGACCAGCGTCAGGGTGTAGAAGGTGGAGACAAAAACCTTGCAGAGCCCCTCGTTCCACTCGTAGCCTGAGTGCCACCGCCGGAGCTGCACCACAGCGTATGTGGTGATGGGGATGGCAGTGTTGAGGATGTGGGTGCCCGCCAGGGAGCACAGCAGGAACTCCAGCGGCTTCCACTTCTTCTGCTTGGCACTAATGCTGAGGATGCCCCAGGCGTTGGCGAGCAGCGAGACGCCGGCACACGCCAGCCAGGCTACCGCATTGCCAGGCAGCTGCTGCTCATTGTGCATGGTGGAGGGATGGGGCACCATCAGCAGGGCGCTGTGGGGCTGCGGCTGGAGGCATCCTAGGGCACGCTGTGCTCCATTGGGGCGGGCAATCCTGGGTGCTGCCAAGCCCAACACCTGCAAGCGAGTGAGGCTGTCAGCAGCACCACAGGCACCCCACAGTGCCACCACAGCCCGGCAGGCTTTTCCCCACTAAGGAGACGCCTGAGCTCGTGGTGCCGCCGGCACTGCAGCCTCCCGGCTATAATTAGACTCCTAGGGATGAAGCAGCGAGCAGGCACTGCTGGCACAACCGCCTCACCCTGGGCCCTGGGGGCTGCCCATGTCCCCGCACTGTGATGCGCAGCGCAGTGCTCGGGGACCCCCACACGGGGCACAGCTCAGCACCCAGAACTACCCGCACGGCTGCCAAACGTCAGGAGCTATTCTGGGCTTTCCATTAGAAGATTTTCTCTCTCTTAAAAATAACTGTAGGAAAACAAGCCTCCAGAGCCTGCTGTGCCGCCAAGGGAAACCCGCAGCCCACGCCGCCGGCGCCCCGGGAAGTTCCCGAACACCCCACATCCGCGGTGCCGGCCGCGTGGGTCGTGCAGGGGTTGCTCCTCCACGCGTGACAGTCCCCGCACGGGGGCACCACTCGGCCGTCCCCGGGGGGCTGTGCAACGCGCTGAACAAAAAGAAGGAACAAAAAAATAAAAAGAAGAGGGAAAAAGCATCCGCTATTATGTAACCGCGGCCCCTTCGCATCCCCCCGCGCGCGTCTCTCGGGGGATTTCGAGGCGCGGGTGACACAGCCTGGAAGCGCCCCGGTGCCACCCGCCTCGGCGGGCCGCTGCGCGGACGGTCAGTGGACGCTCCGTCCTCCGCGGATGCTCCGGAGCCGGCAGCCCCGCGCTCCCCCAGCACCCCGGCCGCGCCTCCCGCTCCTCGCCGATTCCCGGCACCCTCCCACGGCTCAGGCCCCCCGAACGGACCCCGGGCCCGGAGCGGGGAGGCGTCGTCGGGCAGAGCTCCGCCGCCTCCCCTCGGGCCGCGCGGAGGGGCCGCCCGACCCCAGCGCCGCTCCCCCGGTCGCTCACCCCCATGGCCGCAGCCGCCGCCCCCCGCCCACCCTCGGCGCCACCGCCCCCCGCCCGGCACCGGAGCCCCGCGCTCCTCGGCTGCCCGACGGCGGGTGCACCCTGCGGGCAGCGGGACGCCGCGAGTGCCGGGTTCGGTGCCGGTGCCGCCCCGCCCGTACCTGCCGCCGCGTGCGTAGCGGAACCCGGTGCCGTGCCCCGCCGCGGGGCTGCCGCCCGCACCGAGCCGAGCACCCAGCCGGGGCCGCGGCGGGCGGGCGGGAGAAGCACGGCGCATGCCTCGGCACCGCCCGCCGCGCCGCACGGGCACGGACCCCGGCCCGGCCCCCGCCCCCCGAGCAGCCCCGGCAGCGGCCGCCCGAGTCCCGGTGGGAGCCGCAGCTCCGCCGTTCCGCTCCCCGCTCCCGCGGGCGGGACAAGGATCGCCGAGCCCCCTCCCCTGACCCGCCCCGCCCCCCGCTGCGCACCGCGACCCCCACCCGGGTGCTGTCCGCCGGGTCCCGCCCGTAAGGACCGGGGGGATCCCGACCGCCCCCAGGGGAGCGTCCGCGGCTCGCAGCACGGCCTTTGGAATAAGCTCCAAAGCAGCACCGCTGCTGTTGCTCGAGAACAAAAAAAAAGTGACACCCGTTTTATTTCAGTCAAAGATGACAGACTTTATTTATGTCACAGTATTCCTTAAATAACTCGGATGCGCATAGAGAAACTACCTAGAGATTTCAATGGAATGGGCTGAGACATTCAATACAATACTTGGTCGCGTTTATAGCTGCGAGTATCATAAATAAGCTTTGGTGTACGTTTTTAGGACATACTGTAAGTGTAACACAGCATCACAAAGACTCGAGGCCTCGTGCATCCCTCCAGCCGCCACGTGCGCCCGCTCCGCTCCGACACAGGCAGCTTAAACCACAACACGGGGTTCAGAACGACAGAGGGATGGAGACGCTCCCGGCTGAGCCCGCGGGAGCTCCAGAGCCATCTAAACCACGGGGTGGGGGTGGGAAGCGGCACAGCCGGCGTGGCACAGCCCTCCTGCAGCACCAGATCCGCACACGAGCCCTGGTCCGGCGGCACGGCCGCGGCACGAGGCCCCGCACACGCAACACAACACGAATGGGGACGGGGAGGTTTGGCTGAGCAGCGCGCGGGGCCATCAGTGCTGGGCAGCCTGCTGCATCTGCGCCTGCCGCTTGGCTTTCGTCTGCAGGTATCGGCCCTTCCCTTCCTCAAAGCGCCTCTTCTCCTCCTCGCTCTCCGTCTGGCAGAATGAGAAGAAAGCAGTGCCACGAGCATTAGCTTAATTAGGAGCCGAACGGGCAGATCTGACGCGTGGGCAAATTGACACAGCCTGCTGGATCGATACACGCAGCTCCCTCCCAGCTGTCGGGCTCAGCGTCGCCCACAGCAGCGTCTGGAGGCTTGGCTGCATCCTCGTGCTCTGAGCTCCGGTGGGCACACACCCACCACAGCCCCACACTGCGGCCCCACCACCCGGATGTGCTCCCCTGCAAACCTCTGCTCCACTCTGAGTGCCCCACACAGCCCCCACCCCACAGCACAGATGCCCTGAGGGTCTGCAGGCAGTGGAGAGAAAAAAAGAAATGCCATCACTGCACACAGTGCGGCTCCCTCTGAGAGCTCGTTAAAGATGCATTAGTCTGAGCTCCGCCGGGACAATGGAGATTAATAATTAAATTACTGCCAGCATGAAGATGCAACTGTGGCTGCCCTGCCTGGACTGCATGGGCAGGCAGTGCAATCACAGCTGAGAGCTGCACTCACCTCAATGCCAAAGCCATGCAGGAGCGACCCTGGCACGGCAGCACTGCGTGGCCATGGGCTGCCCCACTCTGGCGACCTCCATAATTTGGGATGTCACACAGAGACCCGGCTGGAGCCGCATGGTCCAGGAGGGATGAGCAGCACTCTCAGCTCATGTTTAGGCTGCAAGGCAGTGCACCAGGAGCCCCCCACCACTACGGCACCACCAGCCCCAGCAGGATGTATCTGCAGCAGCAGGTTAACAGCGAGCAGCACACTTCACCCCAGCAGTGTGCATTCCCCAAGCTTTTCAGCTGGAGCCAGGAAAGCGCCGAGCAGGGGATGGATCCTGCTGGGACAGCACTGCACCTCCTGCTGCGGGAGCTGAGGTGGGACAAAGCTCCATGGAACGCAGCTGGGATGGCTGATTTTTAATTAGCCAACAAAATACTCTGAAACACCAGAGCACAGAACAGAAGGAGACCACAGAGCACAAAACATTCATCAAGGAGCAGCTCCCAGCCGGCAGCACCCAGCGAGCAGAGGAGCATGGGTGGCTGTGGGGAGGAGGGAGCTGCGGAGCCCAGCGCCAGGTTTTCCTCCATCATCAGAAAGGAAAACCCATCTCTGCGCTGATGGTTTTCAACCAGAAGGAATTACAAAAACCCACCCTGCAGCCTGGCTTGGAGAGGCTTGCTCAAGCCTATGTTTTTCTACTGAATAATTCAAGGAAGAGGTTTTATTGGACAACGAAGCCCTGAGGGCATCACATGAAAAGCCCAAGTATGGAAAATATTTGGTGTTTAATAAACAAGCAGCCTGAAAGCTCGCATGCTTGCAGCAGAGCAGAGCGATAGCGCTGAGCCATGAGGAAGCAGCGAGCTCCCAGCTCCATCCCTGTGAGCTTACCAGCAGCTGCGGCACCGGCAGCGGCTTCCCCTCCTTGCTCAGCGACACGTAGGTGAAGAAGGCGCTGACGGCTCGGTACCGCTCCTGCGGCTCGTCCACAAACGGGTCGGCATCCACAAAGACTTCGATTTCCATGGACTTATTGCTGGTGAAGGTCATGCGCCCGGAGATGGTGATGACGCTGCCTGCGGGGCGCAGAGCGGCAGCGGCACCGCACTCAGCCCTCGTGTGCAGAGCACTGGGAGCCACGGATGGATGCGATGCCCAGTGCCACCTCCCATGCATCGGATGCTGCCCACCCCAGGGCTGCTTTCTGCTTTGCCGACCCACCACGCACCGCGGGGCCCACCGAGGCTCACAGAGGTGCCCAAGCCGTGCCCAGCTCTCACCTTTCTTGATCTTCTCATGGAAATTGATGGCGTCCACGGAGGCGGTGACGATGTTGGTTTTGCAGTGACGGGCGGCCACGATCCCAGCGACCTCATCCATCAGTTTCATGGTGACCCCTGTGGGGGGAGGAGAGTGGCTGTGACACGGCTCAAACACTGAGCTTCCAAAGCCTACAGACCATGGAGCGCACAGGTTTCCCCCTGAAAACAGCCCCCAGACCCACAGAGCAGCACAGCCACATGCCCCAGCTCTGTGCACACTGCATGCCCCTACTGCTGCTGCAGTGATGGATCCCCCCCTGCCCATCCCTGCAGAGCTGCCAACCCAGAGGAAATCACTCTGGCAAATTACAGTCATTTCACACGCAGTATTTATAATCCAGGATTTGCAATTTAAAAGATGGCACCAAAACTGTAGGATTTACAGTTTGACTATGTCAGTTTCCTGGACTATTTTAATAAACAGGGAAAAAAAAATCCCTATCTGGCTCCGAACATCTCCAAACATCTGGTGCTGCAGATCTTTCCAAACGCAATATTTAACTGCCCATGGATCTCAAAAGCAGTGACAGCACATTGACTGTCTTTGAAGGATCTATTCTTAACAGCGTTTCTTTTCAGATATATACATCAAACCCTTCTCAAAGCAGGGTGCTGCCCAGCATGCAGCAGCCGTGTGCCATGCCGGGTGCTGAGCCTCACTGCACCGGCCTGGATGGCAGCAGCACCGCCCAGGAATGCAGAGTTGCCATAGCAACTGCCCATTTTTATTACTGCCAGGATGGTGCCGGACCCCCGGGGAGGAGCGGTGCTGCCCAGCCCTCCCCAGGCCATGTCACTGCTGGTTAAGTCATCGCCGTCTGCACACTTCATTTCCTTGCTAAGGAGCAGGACAGGAGCTCTGTGCAGCCCCAGCAGTGCATCTTCACATGGTGGGATGTTTCCCAGACCCTGTGACTCGCCCTGCTGCTATTCTTACCCAATCTGCCACCTGGTGCTAATTAGACCTCACAGTTCCTAATTAGACCTTGAAGTTTGGTGGCATCTCAGCTCTGCTCTTCAGAAGTGAGCCTCAGAGCTCTCACCCTGTGCTGCAGATCACCGCCCCGCTGCCCTGCCCAGATACAGCCGGAATCCGGTACTGCTGCGCTCACAGCTCGGCTCGCTGTGCAGACAGCACTTTGTAGGTAGATGAGAAAATTGCACGCCTCAATTATCCTCACCCTGTTAGCCCATTTGCTGCTCCGGGCTCCTGGGGGCTCATTCCGGCTCTCTGCGAGCCGATTACCGCACACGGTGCCATTAGGCAGCGCTCAGGGACTGCGAGCGCGACGCGGGAGAAATGAAGTAAATGGTGCATTATAATTGTCACCAAACAAGGGCTGCAGACACCAGCTGCAAAGTGCCCACGTGCCAGAATCGCTTTTCTTCCCCTCCACCAAAGCGATGCTGAATCCCACAGTGTGCCCAGGGACTAACCCGGTGCCAGGCCCCACACGGAGCCATGCTGATAACTCACCTCCATGCACGAAGCCCAGCAGCGTGCAGTCCGACGGGCCCACCAGGTGGATCAGGCTGGACTGGCTGTAGCCCACCGTGTGCGGCTCTGCTCATGGGGAAACACAGCAGGGTCAGCACAGCCCAGCCGTGCACCCCTGAACCCTATGGGTGATGCTGCACTGGGCTATGCAAACCACAGTGCTTCCATATCAGGACCCCCAGCCATGCACACACTGCTGTCCACTGACATGTGAGTGCCATTAAACCTAAGTGACAGAAACTGTGGACAGAAAACTGGTCCCAGTGCCTCACACCCGACCTCAAAGGTATTGCCCACTGCGCGCCGTGCCACAGCCTTACCTTTCGTCTGCCTATCTGTGAGCATGAGGAGCAAGGAAGAAAAGGCATTTAAGCAACGTGCATTATTAATTACTGCCCAGGTGACCCAGTTCCGTCCCTGTATGTCCATTTCTAGCCTGGGTTGCACTCTAGGATTGGTTTTTCTGGCTATGCTGGAGCTGTAAGCACTTGCATGCCCCACACCTGGCCCCGCAGCTCCGAGCACACAGCAGCACAGCAGCATTGCTTGCACGCAGTGAGCTGCAGAAGCCTGGCTCTGTGCCCCCAGCTCAGCCCCCCACCTGCCTGCTGGACCCCAGAGCCCACAGTCACCATTTGCTCCGGATGACAATTGCTGACACCAGCCTCACTACCTGGGTTGATCACTGGGAGGATCACATCACCATTCCTCTGCTTGGTTTCCAGCCGATCCAGCTTCTGCTCCTCATAGCGCTTCCTGCCCTCATCCTCCTGCTCCTTGTGCATGTACTGCAGCCAGAGGCACATGGCGTTGCATTCCCTTATGGCAGGGACAGAGACCCCCATCTGCCATCCGAGCCCACACTGCGCCCGGGGCCACCAGCAACCCTACCTGGATGGGGGGCACCTCCACCACCTTGTTCACATTCTTCAGGGACAGCGGCACATACCACAGCGTCGCTTTGTTCGTCACCTTCTTGGCCCCTGGAAGAGGGAGGGCAGTGTGAGTGAGGCAGGGAGCAGTGCCATGCAGCCATGTGGCTGCAATGGTGTTTGGGAATGCAGTGCATCGTCACACCAATGGCATCCCAACAAGCCCAGCTGGTTACCATGGCAACTGCAGGGAAGGGCTTTTGTCAGGACAAAGCTGGAGATGTGTGCAAATGATCCCATCCTTTCACCAAAAGCAGCAGCCACACCATCAGAGGCCACAGAGCTGTGCCTCCACTTGCCCCTGTCCCTCCTGCCCAGCCCAGCCCGGTGCTGCAAGGGGCAAAGCCCAGGTATCAGCATGTGCTCCCAGCAGTCATTTCCCCAGTGCTTTGAGGACTAGGAGGCATTCAGACCCTGCCTGGAGTTTGGGCTGCACCAAAAACTTCAGAGCAGAGCTTAACCCGGGAAGTGGCACAGAAAGCTCTGCGTGTCACCAGGCAGCTGCTGCGGGGCACCCACAGTGCCCTGTGTGCCACGGCACAGCATGCTGGGACCCAGCAGCAGGGATGCTGGCAGTGAATGCAGCCCTCTAGTGTCCGGGTTGCCATCCTGGCACGCAGCAGCAGCAGCACCCTGCCCTTTTGTGAACCATTTACCTGTTAAAATGTTTTCAGACATCACGTTGACCTGGACTTCCACGGAATGCTTGGAGGTGTAGGTGATCTCGGCGCTGACATTGGCCACCTCTCCGATGCACATGGGTGAGAGGAAATCCGTCCGCTCCACGCGTGCCAACGCAGCCACGCAGGGCTCCTGGGGGTTCAGCACCACAAGGTCAGGATGCAGTGAGGGGGGGAGCACCCGGCACGGTGCACTTAATGAAAAGGAAGAAGAGGAGGGCACGGAGTCACCACAGCCCGGGGAGCCCTGAGAACCGAGGCTCAGCACCCGCTGTGCCCCCAGCGCTGCAGGGTTCTCCCTTATGCAGAGGCACAGGAAGCAAAAAGCCTTCCAGCAGCAGGAATTGGGCGCACAGCAGCAGGGTGGCTGCACAGCTGCGTGCTCCCCCGGCAGCAGAGCAGGACAGGATGGGCAGGCACAGAGAACCTCGTAAGGAACCGCTTTCCTGCCCTGCCCGCGCCTCCAGGCTTCTCTGCGCGTCTCGAACCGAAGCAGCACGGCAAGGCAGGGCTGCCCACGTAGCACAGAACGGAAAAAGGGGCGAACGCGGCGGACCCTCCCGGCCCCGCTCACCCCCTGCCCGGAGTTGCAGTGCCGGGTGCTGATGATGGCTCCCGCCTCCTCGATCATCTTCAGCACGGTGCCGCCGTGCACATTGCCCGCGATGTTGGCGTCGTCGGGGCGCATGATCCTGCGGAGGCAGCGCTCAGCGGCGAGGGGGTCCCGCCCCGCCATGCCGCACCGCACCGCGCCGGATGCCGGAGACGTCAGCACGTGGCGAGCGCTTCCTGCCCGTCTCCGTGGTAACCGCCCGGTACCCGCCGCGCTCGGGCCGCCCCCCGCACGGCGCCGCGCCCCGGCCCCATCCCGGTGGCAGCGCGGTACACCCCGGGACCAGCTTCATCCCGGCCCCGTCCCGGCCTCACCGCTCCGCCCCGCCCCGCCCGGCGCCTGCGGCGCACCCCGAGGGCGGCTCAAGGGCACCGACAGCGGGCGGGCGGCGGCACCGGGCCCCCGGCGGGGCGGAGCGTCGTTACCTGGAGACCTGGATGGTGGCCGGGCCCGGGCCCGCCGCGCCCCGCTCCGACATGGCGGCACCGGCGCCCGCCAGCAACGGCGTTGCGGCGGCGGCGGCGGCACTGAACCGAGAGCGCCCGCCCCGCCCCGCGCCCTCCCCGCCCGTGCGCAGGGGGCGGAGCCGCCGCCGTGTCCGCCGGTGCCGCGCGGGGGCGCTGCGGGGAGCGGCGTTGTGCGGCTGCCCGGAGGACGAGGAGCCCCGCGCGTCCGTCGCGGCGCAGCGCTCGGGCTCCGCTCCTCGGGGCGGAACGGCACGGGGCGCGGCCGGTGGCCCAGAGCCGCCCGTCCGGAGCGGCAGCGCGTCCCGGCGGCGCTGGAGCCGCCGCTCTGGGTTTTCGCACGCCTCGGCCGCGGCGGACCTCGCCCTGCTGCGCCCACCCGCTGCCGCGAGGCCCCCCGCCGGGCTCCGGCGCTGCCCCGGTTGCGACAGCTCCCGCGGGCCGAAGCCGCTCCCTGGGCGCAGCCGGCACCGAGGTCGTGCCCCCGGCCCGCCCCGCGCTTCCCTGCCCCCGGGCCGCTCCCTCGGCGCTCCTCCCGTGCCCCGGGAGGGCTCTCACCGCCACGTTGAGGTCGAGACGCCCCTGCGGTGCTCCTGATCCCAGAGGCGCGCGGATCTCCCACGCTGCCCCGTGGCCGGGGGTCTCATTGCCTCCACCCGTCCCTCGGTGCACAGTCCAGCCAAAAGTGCCCAGGAGCGCAGCATCTTCACCGCCACCCCCGCCCCACACGGGGCAGAGCACGGCCATTGGCTCCCGCGCCGACCCGCGGTGCAGTATGGCGCACCCGAGGCCCGCAAGTGAGCCCTGCAGCATTGCAGACACGTGTGCATGGCCTGGGCACACTGCTCTGCTCTGTTCCCACGCTCACGCAGGGCTCTGCTTCAGCCCTTGGATGCCGCGGGCAGCGCTCAGCTGCTGGAAATGCTGATGAGCAAAACTGCTTACACACAACCGCCCCCGTGGGTGGCAGGGCTGTGGCGTGCCCAGGCAGCAGCCTTGCATGGGGCTGCCCCCATTGCCAGCTCCCCAAGATCCACATCCCAACCGAGCACTGAGCTGCTGTTGTGCCACTGAGCATGGCAGAAGGGGGCTCAGGGAGTCTGCAGCCTTCATGCCAGTGCAGCACCTGCCCAAGCAGGTGGGCACCCAGCTCAGTTCCTGTTCCCTTCTTCCCAGCACTCGTGGGTCCAACTGAGAGCTCTGTGAAATGCTGGGGTTTTAGGCAACAGGTGGCAGGTCAGCCAGTAAGAAATATGGGTAGCATGGATGCAATGCATGCCCCACTCAGCTCCTCTGAGTCCTGGGCTGTCAGAGTGCACCCACCATGGGCATCACCTCCACAGCCAGGACCTGGCAAGGCCTCCGTGTGCCCACGTATGGGGCAGGGACAAGCCCAGGCCTGGCGCAGAAGCGGGGTGCAAACGCTGCCAGGCCATTGCATCAAGGGGCCCGTGCCATAGCTTGCCTGTTAATTAGCCGTGGCTGTGGCTGCAGGTTGACCACACTGGCTGCCAGGGCTGCTGCTGACACCTCACAGCTCCCAGGCAGGTGCGGTGCCACACCAGGGGTGGGAGTGGGAGGCAATGCCGGCGCTGCTGGGGCAACTGCTGCTCAGCTTTGGCCAAAGGTTTATTTGTACAAAGGGCTGGGGGTCCCCCGGCCGGCGGCGGGGTCTGTACAAATAAATAGGGCTATGTACAGCTGTGTGCGGGGGGCTACCAGGGCCTCCAGAGTGGGGTGGGGGCGGCGCAGAGCGGGACGGCAGGAGGCGACGGGGCCGCCTTGGGGTGGGCGGGCGGTGGAGGCTCCGGGAGGCGGTGGCGGGGGGGGAGCGGCGGCGCGGGGGCCAGCAGAGCGCCCAGGCCGGCCAGGCAGGCGCGGTATCCGGCGCGGAAACTCTCAGAGGGCTCTGCAGAGAGACGGCCGTGAGCACCGGGCCGGGCCCCGGCGGGCGGGGGGCGGCTGGGGGGCTCACCTGGGGCCGAGGGCGCGGCCGGCACCTCCCTCAGGAACTGCACGGTCATCTCCAGGATGTCCGCCTTCTCCAGCTTGGAGTACAGGGAGCTCTGTGGGGGACGGTGGTGGGCACCGGGCACCGGGAAGGGGGAGCGGGGATGGACGGGGCGGACAGAGGGCGGGCACGAATGAGGCATCGGGTTGCGCCGACGGGAAGGACGGGCGGGGATGGGGAGGGGGGAAAGGGTCAGACGGGGACAGAGCGACGTGAGGGGCAGGGGGCGAGGAGCGGGGGGCGCAGGGCCGGGCCGCGACACTCACGTCCTTGCAGACGAGCGGCAGGATGAGCGTTTTGAGCTGGTTGAGGCTCTCGTTGATGCGAGCACGGCGGCGTTTCTCCAGGAGGGGCTTGAGGGTCTGCGGGGAGAAGAGGCCGTGAGGGCGGCCCGGCATCGCCGGAGGCGGTTCTCGTGCAGACCGGAGCTCACCTTGCGCAGCTCGGCGGGGCGGCGCGGGGGCTGCGGGACGGCGCCCGGCGGGGACATCACGCTCAGGCGCTCCGGCACCGCCGACGCCTTTATGAGCCGCCGGGCCGCCCCGCCTCCGGGCTCCGTGCAGGAGGCAGAGCGGAGACAGTGAGGCAGGGAGGCAGGACGGGCGGGTGGGCAGGTAGGGAGGGCAGGGCGTGCAGGTAAAGGAGCAGGCAGGGCGGGGGGCGGGCGGAGGGCGGCCCGGCCCCGCCGCTGTCCGCCGTGCTGGAGCCGGCGCCGCTGTCCGCGGTGCTGACGGAGCGGGGCCGAGCGGGGCGGGGGTCTCGGCTCGACCCCGGTGAGCGCCGTCGGTCCCAGAGGCGCCCGCCCCGCGCTGCCGGTGCCGAGAGGAAGGAGCGCTGCAGACCACGTGGGGACCGCTGGGAGTGGGGGCAGACCGGGGTCCTCACTCTGCAGACACCCGAAGGGGCCCTCCGGGCCTTGACCGGCAGCGCCCGGTTCCCTTGCCGCCTCTTTCCTTCAGCAGGAGCGTGGACCCTGGTGCGTGACTCCTGTTACAGCCGCAGATCTGAAAGAGACTATTTGGTCTCGAAAGCTTCAAATCGGGGCTGAAACGCAACCGCTGCAGCTGCGGCACCAAAGGCTGCTGAGGGGCACGGCGGCTCCCGCAGGCCGCCGAAAATCCTCAACACCCCGCGCAGAGGCGCTGCGCTCCGCAGCCACACTCCGGGAACTCGGAGCAGCTCAGCCTGTGCCATCCGCCGGGATGGTTCTCATCCCAGGAGGTTGCGAGGTCTCGGGAGTACCGGCGGACCCCGAGCCTCCTTCAAGGCGGCTCTGCGCCCCGGGGAACGGGCAGGGGGCAGCGGGCAGGGCCTGCGGCGAGCGGGTTGTCGTGCCCCGACGGCCGGGCTCCCGCAGGGGCCGCGCGGCGCGGGGCGGCGTGGGAGGGGGTGAGGGGGGGCTGCGGGGCGGGCCGGACCCGGGGGAGGAGGAGGAGCCGGCGGGGCCGGGCCGCCGCGCCGTGGGAGCGCCGCGCAGTGCCAAGCGGCGGCCGGACGGCCCGGCGCGGCCGGTCCGGGGCCGGGGCCATGGCGCTGGAGCGGACGCTGCAGGCGGCGCGGCAGGGCGATGTGGAGGCTCTACGGGGGCTGCGCGCGGCGGGGCTGCTCCGGCCGGGGCTGCGGGACGCGCTCGGAGCCTCTCCCGCTCACCACGCCGCCCGCGCCGGCCGCCTCGCCTGTCTCCGGTACCTGGCGGCCGAGGCCGCTCTCCGCGGCGACGCGCGGGCGCGCAACGGGGCCACGCCGGCCCACGACGCCGCCGCCACCGGCAACCTCGCCTGTCTCCAGTGGCTGCTCACGCAGGGAGGCTGCGGCGTGCAGGTGCGAGCTGCGAGCGGCCGCGGGCCGGGGAGGGGGCGCGGGGCTCGACGGGGCGGGCTCGGCGGAGCGCGGGACGGGCGGCGGGGCCCCGGGGGGCGGGACGGCTGCCCCCGCCCCTGCGGCACCTCCGGCCCCGGGGAGGATCCCGGCGGGGCACCGGAGAGCAGGGAGGCGTTTCGACGCACCCCAAAGACCGCCACGATGCGCTGCTAAGCTCAGGCGGAGCGGAGCCCCCCGCTCAGCTACCGCAGCTCCCAGAGTGGGAGAAGCCCGCGCCGAGAGGCAGTAGAAGTCCTCAGAGCCGCTGCTCTGCGGGCCAGAGCAGAAATCGCGCCCCGAGGGGCGTCCGCAGAGCCGGGGCTCCACGGCCGTGGTCCAGCGGGGGAAGCAGCGTTTCCGGTCTGCGTGAAGGGCTCTGTCCACGGCGTCAAGGTCACACACAGACTGCCGAGAGCGGACAGCCATGTGCAGCCTCTACGCTGCTCGACGGCGGAGGGCCTCGTCCTGCGTGAGGGTGGGAGCTGCCTGCGCGACACTCTGGACTGCAGATCCACCACACGCAGGACAAAGCCACGCAGCCCCGAGGAGGGGACGGAGGCTGGGGTGGGTGTCCGGGCGCTATGACCCGGGGGCACCGGTACCTTCTCGGGCTTATACAACCAGAGCGAGCCCCGGGGCAGATAAGCAGCTTGCCCCGGGCTGGCTGAGAGGTAACAACATGTGACGTGGAGGAGGAGGGGTGGGAGAGGTGATTAAGCAGGAAGGAAGGACGGGTTCAGCACGGTTCGGCGCCGTTCTGGCCCGAGGCCAGCTCAGCTCTGTGCCCCGCGAAGCGAGGAGTGCAGCGGGGCCGGGGCAGCAGTGAGACCCGCGGCAAAACAAGCGGGGCTTTGTGCAGCGCCGGGCTGCTAAACCGCTGCTGAGGCCCCCGGGGAACTGGCACGCTTATGGCCCCGGGATCCTCTGCCGTCCTTTCCAGGGCCATCCTCTCGTGATCTGCAGGGCTGCATATGAAGCCTCTCCGTCCCTCCAGCTCAGCCCCCCAGCCCCACACGCTCTCCCTCGCTGGAGGTGCAGAGCTGTCCTGGATGCCAATGGCCTCTCCCCTTCCTCCCGCAGGACACAGACAACTCCGGTGCCACTATCCTACATCTCGCAGCCCGATTCGGTCACCACGAGGTGATCGAGTGGCTCCTCCGTTTTGGAGGCAGCGATCCCACGGCAGCCACAGACACGGGAGCGCTGCCGGTCCATTATGCTGCGGCCAAAGGGGATTTCCCTTCCCTGCGACTTCTCTTAGGACACTGCCCAAGGTAACGGCCCCTGCTGCCCTTGGGAGGCTCGGGGGCAGAGCTGGGAGCTCGGCAGCGCAGGGACGATTCAGGCTTTGGGAGAGCGGGGTGCCCGCTGCCACCCCCCCAACCTCGGCTGCTGGGCAGGGTGCCAGCGTTGGGAGCCGGCCACATCCACCCCCTGCTGCACAGCTCCAAGGGCAACGCGGCAGCATTATCACCTGGGCACACAGCTGCGCTTTCTTTATCACCCGCAGAGAAAGGGCGAGGAGGAGCGCAGCGAGCGCTGACAGAAATATTGCCCGCGGCCGCGGGCGGCACGGAGTGGGGTTTGTTCCCTGCGCTCGTGGCGCGGGGCGATAACACAGCCGCCTTTGTCCACCTCCGTTATGTAAATGGATTAAGCTGCTCGCGGAGGAGAAGCGACCTTTCCCGCTGCCTCCAGGAGCACAGGGCCGGGGCATCGCTGGACACCCCGGCTGCACAATGCCTGGCACCGCCGCGGCCCTGCATGCTGCCCTCACCCCCTGTGCAGCCCTCCCCGAGGCTGTGCCTGGGGATGCAGTGCAGCACCCCGTGCTGAGCCACCCCGGGCTCACGATGCGATTACACAGCCCTAATCTCATTTCCCACGGTGGGCAGAGGCTCTATAAATAGCCGGGGCCCTGGCTGAGGGGGGGCATGGGGACGTGCCTCCCTGCCACACCACGCTGGGCAGGCTCAGGGGCACAAGGGACCTGCTCAAGTTGCCCCCAGCCCCACTCTCACCTTCCTCTTGTGCAGCATGGCCCCACGCAGGATCCCAGCCCACAGAGCACCACACCCAGCAGCACTCTCTTGACCTGTAGGCAGCTCCTCAAGCAAGACTGCCCCTGCCCTTTGTCTCCTTGCCCCAGGTGTGCTGGCTTAGTGGGGGCACCTGTGCTGTCCCATGCCCATTTGAGTTAACCCTCCTCACCCCAGGCCCTGTTCCCTCACAGCTCTATGCTGTTCTCTTGCAGAGGACTCTTGGCAGCAGCTCTTTCACACTGAGTTTCACGTTCCTGCTGGGGTTAATCTGCTGCCAGCTGCCTTTCTCTGCTGAGGTGGCCCCTGAATTATTTACTGCTCGCCCTGTGCCTCGGAGGAGGCTCTGTTACAGCTGTGAAATTCAATCCTGGGGTGCCGTGGGATGTGGATGCAGTTTGGGTGGGCGCATGCTGGGCTCTGCAGCACCAGTGTGGAGGCTGTGGGGCATTCCCAGCACTGCCATGGACAGCTTGTGGTTCCCATCCCACTGCAGCTTGGCCACCTGCGGGTCCCCAGCAGCTTGTCCCAAAGCAGGCAGCAATGCAGGGTCATGGCCATCTGGCACAGTACTCCCTGCCTGCCAGCTGGCACTCACCAGCGTGGATTAACCTCCCCCCATAACTGGGAAATGGCGATTACAGATTGGGGACACACCAAGTGCACCCACACCACGTGGCTACACCACCTCTGCTGATCTCCCAGGCCTGTCCTCAGTGCAGTGCTTAGTGGGACAGGGCCCTGCAGCATGGCTCCGCATGGGGCAAGCGCCGTCTGGGACCGTCTCATGGTTACAGGGATCAATTATTAAGGGCCCGTGATCTGTGTGATAACAGAGTGGAGTATTTGTTGCACTTCCTTTTTTAAATATTCAACAGGTTTTGTGGAGCACTCAAAAAATCCAGCTTCCTGCACAGCAGGAATGCAGGATTTGGGATGTGGGGTGGGGAATGTGAGATGGGGGATTCAGGCCATGGAATGTCAAGGACCAACCAGGGGGAAGGGGATGTGATGCCCAGCAGTGGGGCTGGGCAGTGCCATTGCACAGTTCCACCCTTCCCCACTGGCTGCAGGTGCCTAAGCTGCTTACTTAAAAATACTGCTAGATTGCAGTGTCCAAAAACAGCCAAAGGAATGCGATTAGCCCGAGCTTATTGACTTAGTGACCTCCCACAGCAGCCACCATGTCTGTGTGCGGCTGCAGGGTGGGGGGTCCCAGCAGCAGGCACTGCCCTGCCTGCTCTGTGCCATGCATGTCCCCAGGCATGTGACTTCATGTCCCTGCACATCCACATGTCCCTTGTGTCCTACACATCCTCTGTGACTACGTGTCCTCGTACAAATCCCTTGTGCCCCCATAACTGTGAATCCCACACCCCTGTGCTCTGTGGCCACATGACCCCAGTGCCCCACATGTCCTGGTGCCCGCTGTGCTCCCATTGGAGGGGCTGCAGGCGCCCAGCACTGTGCTCTGCTTGCAGCACGCTCAGTGCCCAGACCAAGACCGGTGCCACCCCTCTGTACCTCGCCTGCCAGGAGGGCCACCTCGAGATCATCCAATACTTGGTGAAGGACTGCGGGGCCGACCCCCACGTACGCGCCAACGACGGCATGACCCCACTGCATGCTGCAGCCCA